AATTTTATTAAGTGTGTTCTAACCTAACCACTCTGTAATCCGGCAAACTCAGTAATCCGGCACACTACAGGTCCCAGTGATGCCGGATTTGTGATGGAGGACCTGTATTGGAAAATACAAAAAACCTTCGAACTGGAGTAAATAAAAGAATACTGGGTGGGTGGCATTCGCCGCTGTTGCCATACACTGCTCATTTTCTGCTAACTTTGTGCCTCTATATCTCGGTAAGTACTGATGGCAAAAATTTTTTTTTAGGCTTAAAACACTCAGTAAAATAATCCTAACATTTTGGTAAGAAAAAAATCATTTTTTTTTTTTTTTAATATTTTGCGACATAGAATGACAGTTTCAGAAAGGGGCCTGTGACAGTCAAAGGGTTAAGGTTGCATCAGAAATGCTTTATATTGCTAAAAATCAAATGTGACCATGCTATACAAAGACCAGCCAAAATATAATAGAAAAGTAAGGCAATATATAGCAAAAAAAGTGAAACAACTAGAAAAGGTTAATTAACCCTTTGACTGTCGCGGTCGTATATGTACGTCATAGGAGATACCGTGTTTGACGTATCTATACGCATAAATTCTAGCGGCTTCAAATCAAGCAGGAGAAAGCTGGTAGGCCCACATGTGAGAGAATGGGTCTCCATGGTCAGTGTGCACCATATAAAAAAAATCGGGGAGCCAGTGGTGCATTGTGGGAATACCATTTCAGTCGTCCTTTTTCAGCATGTCTAGCGGTAAGAAATATGTGACTTCCCTTCAAATCTGGGACTCTTCTCTTCCCAAGTGATGCTCTAACACGATGGAAGTGTCAATGAAGATCAATTTCATGATTTCGAGGAGTTTGAGACCAAAAGCAATGGAGGAGGAAGAGGAGGAGGAAGAAGAGGAGGAGGAAGAAGAGGAGGAGGAAGAAGAGGAGGAGGAAGGAAGGAGGAAGAGGAAGGAAGGAGGAAGAGGAAGGAAGGAGGAAGAGGAAGGAAGGAGGGAGGAAGGAGGGAGGAGGAGGAAGGAGGGAGGAGGAAGGAGGGAGGAGGTGGGAGGGAGGAGGAGGAGGAAGGAGGAGGGAGGAAGAAGGAAGGGAGGAAGAAGGAGGGAGGAGGAGGAAGGAGGAAGGGAGGAGGAAGGAGGGAGGGAGGAGGAAGGAGGGAGGAGGAGGAGGGAGGGAGGAGGAGGGAGGGAGGAGGAGGGAGGGAGGAGGAAGGTGGAAGGTGGAAGGTGGAAGGTGGAAGGAGGAAGGTGGAAGGAGGAAGGTGGAAGGAGGAAGGTGGAAGGAGGAAGGTGGAAGGAGGAAGGAGGAAGGAGGAAGAAGGAAGAAGAAGAAGGAAGAAGAAGAAGGAAGAAGAAGAAGAAGGAAGAAGAAGAAGAAGAAGAAGAAGAAGAAGAAGAAGAAGAAGAAGAAGAAGAAAAAGAAGAAGAAGAAGAAGATCTAATACCTAATACAGTTCACCCCATGACAGTGACAAGATAAGGGGAGATAACATCTGATAAGAGCTGACCTTTGATGAGCGTAAACGAGGGTGGAGGGAGGGGGGCAGCTGTCCATCTGTCAAGAGCCAGGAGGAGGAGGAGGAGGAGGAGGAGGAGGAAGAGGAGGAGGAAGAGGAGGAGGAAGAGGAGGAGGAAGAGGAGGAGGAGGAGGAAGAGGAGGAGGAAGAGGAGGAGGAGGAGGAAGAGGAGGAGGAGGAGGAAGAGGAGGAGGAAGAGGAGGAAGAAGAGGAGGAAGAAGAAGAGGAGGAAGAAGAAGAAGAAGAGGAGGAAGAAGAAGAAGAAGAGGAGGAAGAAAAAGAAGAAGAAGAGGAAGAAGAAGAAGACAACGACGACGAACAAACATTTGTCTGTCTGTCTATTTGTCTGTCTGCCAAACTCCCTGTCTATCCATCTAGCTCTGTCTCAGAGAGAGCCACAAGACTGTGTCATCATCACCTTTACTCACATCTTCAAGCAGAGTATAGCACTTTGTCTGGATTTTTTGGGTTATCCTAGGTAATTTACACTATGTATAGTTGTATTTATGTGTACCTGTGAGACAGAGATAGACAGAGAGAGAGAAAGAGAGACAGATTGAAAGAGATAGAATGAGGGAGAAAGATAATTAGATAGAATGGAGGGGGAAGCAGCATCCGACCCCATTGTTTTGACAGGCGGTAGGGGCAGTGACTAATGAGACAATATGTCATTTTGACAGCTGTCCACTCCTGACTCAAAACAATTATAAGCCACACACTCGCACACAAGACAAGCTTGCTGAAGGGTGATAATAGCAGTTTTATGAAAGTATCTAGTGACTATATATGTGTATATATATTATAGAAACCAGAAGCAAGAAGGGAAGGCAGGAATGAAGGAAGGACTAGATGAAAGGAAGGAAAAAAGTAATGAAGGACAGATGAAGGAATGTAGGAAGAGAGGTGGAATGCCCTCCAGGTAGCCTCCAGGAAGGAAAGGAATGAAGGAAATTAGGAAGGAAGGATGACACACGACCATTTACCTAGGATAACTACATAACACAACTGCCTGCTAATACTTTGAAGAAAACGGCTCAGACGAGGTGTTTTGTCTTTGCACATAAAAAAAAAATTCAACAAAAATGCACACACACTGATTTTATGTGTGAGAGTGTAAAACACCATTGTGTATGACACCATGTTTTATGTGTGAGAGTGTAAAATACCACTGTGTATGACACCATGTTTTATGTGTGAGAGTGTAAAACACCACTGTGTATGACACCATGTTTTATGTGTGAGAGTGTAAAACACCATTGTGTATGACACCATGTTTTATGTGTGAGAGTGTAAAACACCACTGTGTATGACACCATGTTTTATGTGTGAGGTGTAAAACACCATGTGTATGACACCATGTTTTATGTGTAAGAGTGTAAAACACCACTGTGTATGACACCATGTTTTATGTGTGAGGAGTGTAAAACACCACTGTGTATGACACCATGTTTTATGTGTAAGAGTGTAAAACACCACTGTGTATGACACCATGTTTTATGTGTAGGAGGTAAAACACCACTGTGTATGACACCATGTTTTTATGTGTAAGAGTGTAAAACACCACTGTGTATGACACCATGTTTTATGTGTAAGAGGTAAAACACCACTGTGTATGACACCATGTTTTATGTGTAGAGTGTAAAACACCACTGTGTATGACACCATGTTTTATGTGTGAAGAGTGTAAAACACCACTGTGTATGACACCATGTTTTATGTGTAAGAGTGTAAAACACCACTGTGTATGACACCATGTTTTATGTGAGAGTGTAAAACACCACTGTGTATGACACCATGTTTTATGTGTGAGAGTGTAAAACACCACTGTGTATGACACCATGTTTACAGGTTCCACAAGTGCAAAACTTCTAGAGTATGTACAGACTGTATATGGTATAAGTGTTATAGAACAACTAGTAATAAACCAATTTTCTGTATTGTTCAGTTTTTGTAAACAAGTTTTCAGTGTAACTATATATTGGATAATTATTTGTGTACTATTGTTGATAAAATGTATATATGTACTTGCACCTTACTTTGGTCTCAAGGCCACATAAGTTTATGTAAAAAAATAAAATGTGAAAAAAAAAAACCTTCAAATACAAGTAACTAAATGTTTACCGGTGTGAGCGGCAACGCCGTGTTTGTCATAGTGACTCACTTTTCTCAAACTTATGCTCTATCCGGTAAGTATGATGGGAAAAATTTATTGGGGACTAAAACAATAGAAAAATAATCTTAACACTTCAAAGAAAAAATAATTTTTTTTACGAATATTTGCGCACCAGGAGCAACTCGGATTGGCCCTTCGACAGTCAAAGGTAATTTTCTAGACAAGCTCAATGAGAAGGTGGTCCATCCATAGACGTAAGTGTGTACCTGGCAAGTAGCCATATAGCATTATTCATGTGTGATGAATGGGTTCTGAAAAACGACAAGTGAAGATTAGACATTTATAAGACAAATGGAATCTTTATTCAGAAACTTTCGCACACAGGCTTCATCAGCCAACAAAAGGATAGGCCCGTAGAGAGGAAGGGTTAGGTAATCAGACCTCAAGCTGAATGATGGTTCAGTCCATCTTCATAATGAAAAATGTTGTACTTGTGCAGCAACGTAGTCCTTGTGATTGATAGCCATTATTGTACACTTTTACTAATTGTTAAAGTGTAATTGTAAAATTGATAACTTGTGATCAGGAATGGCAGAGCGGTGTTGAGGCATTAAAAAAATAAATTTCCTCTCTCTTTTTGTTATAGAATAAATTTTAATTCCTATATTTTTGTCACAAGACTATCTAGGTATCTAGTCCCTCTGCTTGAATCTGTGTATAAAAGTCCATCTTCTAATGGACAAAATTGTTCTTGTGCAGCACTGTAGTCTTGTGTGTAGTTGATAGCCATTATTGTACACTTTTACTAATTGTTAAAGTGTAATTGTAATAAATATAACTTGGTGGATCAGGATGGCAGTGAGCGGTGTTGGGAGGGCATAAAAAAATAAAATTTCCTCTCTCTTTTTTGTTATAAAATAATTTTTAATTCCTATTTTTTTTGTCACTCACACTTCTATTCTCCTATTTCTTTATGATAACCTCTTGCTTGATACCCTGCTGTACATAAAAGTAAGTTTACTTTAAACTTGGTACAGGTATTATACCACCAAGTATATGTATGAAGACAGTATGCAGGACAAACTTATTGGTAGCATATTTCACTCAGGGTAGAGGTTCATGAAGCTCTACCCTGAGTGAAACATTGTCCCAGTAAAAGCTTCTTCTACATATTGTGTCTTATTTTAATTATTGGTTTGCATAAGTTAAGTTTTATTCAGGAAATGTCAGGTAAAATTATATAAACCTTCATTTGACTTTCATGTTGTAAAACTAAATAACTTGTAAAGAAATCTTAATTTTAGTAATACTGTAACATGATATGCTGTGTAAAAAAATAATCTATCTGTTCAGTAAACTCCTTGCATTCTCCAAAAGGGTGATGGGACAGGTACACAAAGTATTTATGGCCCAAGCTTTCCTGATGAAAATTTCATACTCAAGCATGATGGACCAGGATTACTGTCATTGGTGAGAATCTTTTTATATACTGTAATTAAAAATATAGAGCTGGAGAATGAATGATGGTGAATGTGTTTCTTTGAATCACCCTGCCTTGGTGAGAAATGGCCAGGAATAATTTTTATGAAAGTGTAACTAGTGTCCAAGTGGAAACTTATCTGGAACGATAATGTAATTATGATAGACCATATAAAATATTAATGGACATATTTTGCCAATGGAGAAAAGCAAATCTTTGCAGTCCTGGCCCTTGTATGAGTGCACAGTATCACCTTGCTCTTACTCTATAAATTACTGACAGATCAGGTTAGCAGATTAGAAATAGTGATTAGTACAGTGGACCCCCAGTTATCAGCCACTTCTGTTATCGGCCAACTCGGTGATCGGCCGGTTTTTCACTGCCTGGTTATCGGCTGTTAATTCAGTGATCGGCTATTTAAGACATGTCCGTCCGCCAGCTGGGGCCGCTTGCGCGTCAGTTTGGCTGTGTCTTTCAGTGTATGAGGAAGCTTCTGCTCATACATCCAAACATTTCAATTGTTTTCCATTGTTTTTTGTGGGTTTTTTGCAGTGCAACTGCAAAATAAGTAACCATGGCTCCAAAGAAAGTTCCTGTGGTAAAGAAAGTGAGAAACACCATGGAATTTAAGTGTGAAGTATAGCATGCATGCAGGGAGTGTAGCAGGCATGCAGGGAGTGTAACAGGCATGCAGGGAGTGTAGCAGACATGCATGAAGTGTAGCAGGCATGTAGGGAGTGTAGCAGGCATGCAGGGAGTGTAACAGGCATGCAGGGAGTGTAGTAGGCATGCAGGGAGTGTAGCAGGCATGCAGGGATTGTAACAGGTATGCAGGGAGTGTAGCAGACATGCAGGAAGTGTAACAGGCATGCAGGAAGTGTAATGGGCATGCAGGGAGTGTAACAGGCATGCAGGGAGTGTACCAGGCATGCAGGGAGTGTAGCAGGCATGCAGGGAGTGTAGCAGGTATGTAGGAAGTGTAGCAGGGATGCTGGAAGTGTAGCAGACATGCAAGGGGTGTAACAGGCATGCAGGGAGTGTAGCAGATATGCAGGAAGTTTAGCAGGCATGCAGGAATTGTAGCAGGCATGTAGGGAGTGTATCAGGCATGCAGGGAATGTAACAGGCATGCAGGGAATGTAACAGGCATGCAGGGAGTGTAGCAGACATGCAGGAAGTGTAGCAGGCATGCAAGGAGTGTAACAGGCATGTGGGGAGTGTAGCAGACATGCAGAGAGTGTGGCAGGCATGCTGGGAGTGTAACAGGCATGCAGGGAGTGTAGCAGGCATGCAGAGAGTGTTGCAGGCATGCTGGGAGTGTAGCAGACATGCAGAAAGTGTAGCAGGAATGCAGGAAGTGTAGCAGGCATGCACGAAGTGTAGCAGGCATGCAGGGAGTGTAACAGGCATGCAGGGAGTGTAACAGGCATGCAGGGAATGTAACAGGCATGCAGGGAGTGTAGCAGACATGCAGGAAGTGTAGCAGGCATGCAAGGAGTGTAACAGGCATGTTGGGAGTGTAGCAGACATGCAGGAAGTGTAGCAGGCATGCAGGAAGTGTAGCAGGCATGCAGGGAGTGTAACAGGCATGCAGGGAATGTAACAGGCATGCAGGGAGTGTAGCAGGCATACAGGGAGTGTAGCAGGCATGCAGGGAGTGTAACAGACATGCAGGGAATGTAACAGGGATGCAGGGAGTGTAGCAGACATGCAGGAAGTGTAGCAGGCATTCAAGGAGTGTAACAGGCATGCAGGGACTGTAACAGGCATGCAGGGAGTGTAGCAGGCATGCAGGAAGTGTAGCAGGCATGCAGGGAGTGTAACAGGCATGCAGGGAGTGTAGCAGACCTGCAGGAAGTGTAGCAGGCATGCAAGGAGTGTAACAGGCATGCAGGGAGTGTAGCAGGCATGCAGGAAGTGTAGCAGGCATGCATGGAGTGTAACAGACCTGCAGGATGTGTAGCAGGCATGCAAGGAGTGTAACAGGCATGCAGGGAGTGTAGCAGACATGCAGGAAGTGTAGCAGGCATGCAGGAAGTGTAGCAGGCATTCCAGAAGCCAGCATTAGTCTTCAATAAAGGTATGTAATACTGATTTAACCCTTTGACTGTTTTCGACGTATAAATACGTCTTATGAGCCAATGTTTCTGACGTATATATACTCAATAATTCTAGCGGCTTCAAATCAAGCGGGAGAAAGCTGGTAGGCCCACATGTGAGAGAATGGGTCTGTGTGGTCAGTGTGCACCACATAAAAAAAATCCTGCAGCACACATTGCGTAATGAGAAAAAAAAAACGGATCTTTTTTTGGAATAAAACGCCGACTTTGAGGTGTATTTTCGTATAGTATTTATTGTTGTATTCGCGTTTTCATAGTCTTAGGTGATAAAATGGAAAACATATTACAGAAATAGAGATGATTTTCATTACTTTGACGATGAAAACGACCTTGAAACTGAGCTCAAAGTACAGTGGACCCCCGGTTAACGATATTTTTTCACTCCAGAAGTATGTTCAGGTGCCAGTACTGACCGAATTTGTTCCCATAAGGAATATTGTGAAGTAGATTAGTCCATTTCAGACCCCCAAACATACACGTACACACGCACTTACATAAATACACTTACATAATTGGTCGCATTCGGAGGTGATCGTTATGCGGGGGTCCACTGTATTTATTTTATTTATTTATTTATTTATTTATTTATTTAGTAATTTAGCATACATACAGAGGTACAAAAAAATACAGGTAAGAGCAGCATGCCAAAGCCACTTATATGCATAGCATTACGGGCTGGCTTAAAATTAACTTAAGATTAACTAAGCAATGATGAAATCAGTGATAAAACATTATTGTAAACAGATAACTATAAAGCACAAATGAGTATTACAAAGACAGGTCATATGGTTGCATGCATTGCTGTACATTCAGTCGAATGGAGTATTCTGTTAGGTAGTGTATTTAAAAAAATAACAAAGTTAGATTGGGTCCTAGGTTTAACATTTGTGTGATATAATTGTGGGTAACATATAGGATATACAATTTATAAGGTTCAGTTATTCAGTATTTATTTGGTTTTGAGTGAGTAAGTGATCTTTGAGAAGAGACTTGAATTTATAAACAGGTAGTGTTTCTTTTATATTTACAGGTAATGAATTCCAGATTTTAGGGCCTTTTATGTGCATTGAGTTATGTGCATTGAGATGGACATGAGGAACATCAAAGAGTGATCTGTGCCTTGTGTTATGGTCATGTGTTCTGTTGAGGTTGGCAAGATGTTTGAGGGGAGGGTTAATATCAGAGTTAAGTGTTCTATGTATGTAATAGGTGCAGTAATAAGTATGAATGTTTTGTATGGTGAGTAGGTTGAGTGCTTTGAATATTAGTGGAGTGTGCTGCCTATAACTGCAGCCTTTTGTTGGATAATTAGTGGTCTGAGATGGTTAATTGTTGTTGAGCCCCATGCACAAATTCCATAGGTGAGATAGGGGTAAATAAGAGAGTGATAAAGGGCCAGGAGGGCTGACTGTGGAACATAGTACCGTATCTTCGATAGTATGCCTACAGTCTTGGAAATTTTCTTAGAAATTTGTTGTATATGTGTATGAAATTTGAGTCTATTATCAAGGTGGATTCCTAAGAATTTTCCCTCTGTTAGCTTTGTGATAGGTGATCTGTTTATCGTAATGTTAAGAGGTACATCTGTAGCTCTTTTACCAAACTGAATGAAGTAGGTTTTGTCATTGTTTAGTGTAAGTTTGTTAGTCCTCATCCAGGTAGATATTTTCTGTAATTCGGTGTTAACAGTATTGGCTAGCGTGACTGGGCTCGGGTGAGAGAAGACATATGTAGTGTCATCTGCAAAAAGTGTGGGTTTGAGTAATTGTGAAGCATTTGGTAGGTCATTTATGTATAGGAGAAAGAGAAGAGGGCCAAGGACACTTCCCTGTGGGACACCAACTGTAATTGGTTGAGCGGAAGAGCTTGCCCCATTTGCGTACACATATTGGCTTCTGTTGCTGAGGTAAGACTTGAGGTAGTTGAGGAGTGCCCTCTAATACCATAGTGTGACAATTTTACGTGGAGCAAGTCATGGTCAACTGTATCAAAAGCTTTACGTAAGTCAATGAAGATCCCCAGTGGGACTCTTTTTTCTCTATTGCAGTGTATATATGTTCTAGCATGTTAAATACATCACTATTTTTTTATTGGGCCCTGAACCCAAAATTTTGCGGGGGTTAGAATGTTTTGGGGAGATGAGGTGGGAGAGATTCTTTAAGAATTAATTTTTCGAAGATTTTGAAGAGGGTTAAATTGGTTATTGGGCCCATAGCATTCAACTCTTTTTGGGCCCCCTCCCTTTAGGGTCGGGTGACCCCCTTTTTTTTAGAGCTGTAGGGGAAAGGGGGAGGATTCAATGGATTTTGTTAAAGAAATGTTGCAATATTGGGGATAGACTTTTTGACACTTTTTTTTAAATAAAGGGGGGTAAGGTATTTAAACTCCTGCCTTTTTTTTTAGTGCGTTGATAATAAGGGAACTTTTTATGGGGTTAGTCGAGCTAGGAAAAGTGTTCGGTATTGCCCGTGAGGTATCATTTGGGGGGGGTATCGGCTTTGGGGTTTTATTGCGTTTTTCCATATGGGGGAAAAATCATTTTAGCTGTTTTTCTGTTTCGTTGGTGGGGGTTGGGGTTTATCTGATTTTGCTAATTTTATTTTGCTATTCGTGATACTTTTTTTTCCCGAATTTTTGATGGGGTCTTCCAGGTCTTTTTTTATCCCTCAAAGTTGGAAAATCGTTCCATAATACATTTTTTTTTGCCCTTTTATCGGGCTGGTTAGGTTGACGAGAACGTTTTTTTTTGGTCTCTTTTTATGGCCCCATTCTGTACTTTTTTTCATATCGGTGTTTGATTTATGGTTTTGAAATGCGGGTTTTAGCCAGGACTGTTCAGCTCTTAGTTCATACCTGGAGTTTACCTGGGG